TTCGCCGGAATCGGACTTTCTCCGCCGAGTTTCACCGAGTTTCCTTTGAAACTCGGACTCAAATCGGAGAAAAAATGCGGAAAATAAAGAACCGAGTCGAAAGACTCACCTGGTTACCGGTTCTGAGACGAGTCTTCACCGCGTCGACTCCCAGAAACTTCACCTTGACGAATCTCGTCACCGGCGGCACCGAGACTTCCCAGATCTGTTTCTCATCGTCGCCGATAATCTCCTCCGATGGACTGAAAACACTCAGTAAACAGATCAAGACGCTCACACAGACTCGACTCGGAGAAACCGAAACCGAAAACCCTAAATTACCTCACCTTTTCCGGCGAACTTACCTCCCTGGATCGTAACCGGAGCTCTGATACCACTTTGTGAAGTCCTCGGGCCTACATCTCGGCCGGACGGTGCCGGCGAATCCACTAGAAAACGGAAGAAACCATCGGAGAACAAGAACCGACGGTGCTCCACAACTCGGAGACTCGTCGATCGGAAAACCAGTCCGAAGACAACCAAGAAAGACGAGGAACAACCACCTTACCGACCTCGACTCACTTACCTTGAGCCGCCGTCGAGTCCGAGCTTCACCGACGCCGGGAAGCTCCGTCGTTGTCATCGCCTTCTTCTCTCCTCCGGTCTCTCTCGAACCTTCTGCCTCGAGCCACACGCCACACTCCACGAATGCTCGCGAAGAGTTAGGGTTCATTAACCCGTTGCTCAAAACGCCACGTTTCGGCCGATGGGCCGTTCCTTTCTTTCACCAAAAAACTAAATGGGCCGCTGGGCCGAGCGGGCCCAACATCGAGGATTAGTTACTTCGATGATGTAGCCTACGAAATATCTTAGTAATATTTATATAATAATAATAAAAAAAAGAAAAAAAAAAGAAAAAGAAAAACAAACAAGACAAGTGGTCTAAGTTTGAGCAAGTGAGTTGTCTTTGCAAATCTAAGGAAATGTCCCACGTGTGGTGACGGTGTGATCCTTTGTCACTGCCATAAAACGCGGTAAGAGTCACACAGCGTTCACGACGCAACCTCACGGCCCTTCTGGGTTTCCTCCACGTGTCACTCCGCGAACATGCATTCTTGTTGACCGCACAACTTATTATTATTATTATTATTATTATTATTATTATTATTATTATTATTATTATTATTATTATTATTATTATTATTATTGTGTTGATTATTATTATTATTATTTTTTAATAATGAGAAATTTGAAATTTTGCGTACTCCCTTATTGTATGTTATGTGCATCGATTCAATGCCTTGCATGTGCGTGCTTAGGCCTATTGCTTTTTCCTTTTCTAAAAATGCAAGGAGATGAATATATATATATATATATATATATATATATATATTAACATGATCTGAAATTTGTAACGATATTCAAAATATCAATTTACATTTTTTTTTACTGCCGAAACAAATTCTTACATTAATTAAGAGTCTAAATTAAAAAAAAATGAACTACAAATCGAGCCCATTATCATCGGTCAAAGGCCCAAACTTCGGCCCACAAAAAATTCAAATCCTAATTCGAATTCAAAAAGTCTCTCAGCCGCTCCATCTCCCTCCCTCCCCACACATCTGTTTTTTGTTACCGTTGCTTCTTTTACCAACAATGGCGACGCCGAACCCTCACCTCATCACGCCGACCAAAACTCCATCTTCCAAGAGAAACCAACAATCTCAGTCTCAGATGCAATCTCATCCTCAAAATCCGACGAACTCCGAATCCAGGTCCCGGTTCGAGGCCTACAATCGTCTTCAGGCTGCGGCCGTCGCTTTTGGAGAGAAGCTTCCGATCCCGGAGATCGTAGCCATCGGTGGCCAATCCGATGGCAAGAGCTCGCTTCTTGAGGCGCTTCTTGGGTTCCGATTCAATGTTCGGGAGGTGGAGATGGGCACACGACGTCCTCTGATCCTCCAGATGGTTCATGATCCCACGGCCCTCGAACCTCGATGCCGCTTCCAGGTAAAATCTATGCAAATGCACCATGATCCATTGAGTTTTGCTGTGGATTAATGTTTATTTGGTAGGTTAGGCTACAAATTTTGCAATCAATGTATGTTCCAAAACATCAGATTCGCAGTCATTATTTCTTGTTCTAGATATTTCTGTTTTACTGAAGTTTTCATATCCGAGACGTGAGGTTATAATGATGGGCACGTTATGATTAGAGAATTACCAATGCAACGTTTCTTACAAATTCCTGGGTATGAGTTTTGTTTGGTTATGAACTCAAAAGTCAAAAGCCACAGTGGTTCTCCACATTCTATGTTATGGAAGTTTATGTCTTTGAGATGGTGACTTGATTGGTAGGATGAAGATTCTGACGAATATGGAAGTGCCATTGTTTCGGCTACTGCAATTGCCGATGTAATTAGGTCAAGAACAGAGGCGCTTTTGAAGAGGACCAACACCGCAGTCTCGCCAAAGCCAATTGTGATGAGAGCTGAATACGCCCATTGTCCAAATCTGACCATCATTGATACTCCTGGTTTTGTTCTTAAGGTAGCCTTTGCTTTTGTCTGTTAGTATGAACTGTGAAGGCAGTCCTCTGCGCAAGTTTCTTGTCTTTAGGAACTGAACAGAAGTTGTAAAACTTTCTCCGCAGGCTAAGAAAGGAGAGCCAGAAAACACTCCTGAGGAAATTCTCTCGATGGTGAAGTCACTTGCTAGTCCTCCACATCGCATTCTCTTGTTCCTTCAACAGAGTAGTGTAGAGTGGTGTTCATCCTTGTGGTTAGATGCAGTTCGTGATATTGATCCAAGTTTTCGAAGGACTGTCGTCGTAGTCTCCAAGTTCGATAATCGCCTCAAGGTACTTCTTCAATTGCCTTTTATGTTGCTTGGTAGATGACCATTTTTTAAGTGAAAAAGACTGCAATGTGGCTGATCTATGGCCTTAATGTTGAGGTACAAGTAATCAGGAACTGGAGTTTGACAACAGTTTTCAATGAACCGAAATCTCATGTCATAATTTGAACACCCAACACTTGCAGGAGTTTACAGATCGGTGGGAAGTTGACCGTTATCTCAGTGCTAGTGGATATCTCGGGGAGAACACTCGTCCCTATTTTGTGGCGTTACCAAAAGACAGGAACACTATTTCAAATGATGAATTTCGTAGACAAATATCTCAAGTGGACACTGAAGTCTTAAGGCATCTAAGGGATGGAGTGAAAGGAGGATTTGATGAAGAAAAGTTTCGCCCTTATATTGGTTTTGGCTCGTTAAGGGATTTTCTGGAGTCTGAGCTTCAGAAGAGGTACAAGGAAGCGGCTCCAGCAACTCTAGCTTTGCTTGAACAGCGCTGCTCCGAGGTAACCAAAGAGATGATGAGAATGGATTTAAAAATCCAGGCTACTTCTGATGTTGCTCATCTCAGAAAAGCAGCAATGCTATACACCGCTTCTATTAGCAATCACGTGGTGAGTAGTTTATTTGATGGGTTTTTCAAGTTGTGAAGATTACGGTTGGATCTTAATGCTGGCAAAATTCTGGTGCCTCTTTGTCAGATGTCTAAATGATGAAAGATTTTTCCTTTTCTTGTCTGTTCAGGGAGCTTTGATTGATGGAGCAGCAGATCCAGCACCTGAGCAATGGGGGAAAACAACTAAGCAAGAACGTGCAGAGAGTGGGATTGGGAGCTGGCCAGGTGTTAGCGTGGACATTAAGCCTCCTAATGCTGTCCTTAAGCTCTATGGAGGGGCTGCCTTTGAAAGGGTAATCCATGAATTTCGTTGTGCAGCCTACTCTATCGAATGTCCTCCAGTATCAAGAGAAAAGGTACTTCCATGTTCTTTACTAGGGAAAGCTTTCTGTCACTTCCAAATGCAGAGTTGACACATTACTGTCCATTAACCAGGTGGCGAACATTCTACTTGCTCATGCTGGGCGTGGAGGGAGTCGGGGATTGACGGAGGCTGCTGTAGAGATTGCTCGAACTGCTGCACGGTCGTGGCTCGCTCCCCTTCTTGACACAGCCTGTGATAGGCTCGCCTTTGTATTGGGAAGTCTCTTCGATATTGCCCTTGAAAGGAACCTGAGCCAAAATTCAGAATGTAAGAATCGTTTGACACTCCTGATTCTTTTGAATTCTTCTACAGCCAGATACATTGCTTAAAGTATGTGTTCTCTTTATTTGGGTGGAAATATTGTGTTCTTCACAAGCAAAAGTATGTAAGCATGAATCTTGACCTTACAAGGGGCAGGTTAGGAAGTTGCTGAGGCTGTTGCTAATAGATTATTGCCCTTGTGTTCATTTTTTTAGCAGTCCACATCTTTATCTTCCCTCGTGGATGTATGCCTCTAAGGTAACCGATCAGGAATAATGATATTGCTTCGATTTTTATGATGCAGATGGGAAGAACAATGAGAACATGGATGGATACGTGGGCTTCCATGCTTCTCTACGCAATGCATACAGTCACTTTGTGAAGGATCTCGCCAAACAATGCAAGCAATTAGTAAGGCACCATCTCGATTCAGTGACCAGCCCGTATTCTATGGCGTGCTACGAGAACGACTACCACGAAGCTTTTGGCTCGACAGGAGGAGCCTCTTACTTCAAACTTAACCAAACTTCAGGCGGGTCGTTTTGCTTCGAGCTGTCTGAAACAGAGGCAGCTTCTTGTGACGAGGCAATGAAAGATCAAGAAAACATACCTCCTGAGAATAATGCCCATCAAACGACACCAGGGAAAGGAGGGGAAAGCCAGATAACGGTGCCTGAGACGCCATCCCCTGATCAGCCATGCGAGATAGTGTATGGTCTGGTCAAGAAAGAAATAGGGAATTGCCCTGATGGAGGTGGAGCAAGAAAACGAATGACCAGAATGGGAGGGAACAGAAACATGAATGGGGGAGGAGAGATTCTGTTTGGAAACGGAGATAAACGTTCGAGATCGAGCTCTGCTTACTCGGAAATATGTTCATCAGCTGCACAACATTTCGCCAGGATCCGTCAAGTCCTTGTCGAGAGAAGCGTGATGTCAACTCTCAACTCCGGATTTCTGACACCATGGTAAGGTTTTTCTCTCTCAGTTTTCTTGTTCTTCTCGGACACATCTCTTGCTTCATTAGCTATGTCTTGTCGGATGATGCATCGAGTTTACTTGTGGAGGAAGTAATCTATTAATCGGTCTGGTTTTCTTTTGTTCAGCCGGGACAGGCTGGTGGTGGCACTTGGCCTGGATTTGTTCGCAGTGAACGACGAGAAGTTCATGGACATGTTTGTCGTGCCAGGAGCCGTTGATGTTCTGCAACATGAACGCCAACAGCTTCATAAACGCCAGAAGATACTTCAGTCTTGCTTGAACGAGTTTAAAACCATGAGTCGTGTTCTTTGATCATCATCATCATCATCACCATCATCATCTTGTCCTTCATCAGAACTTCCACTTCTGGTGGATTTAACGTTGGTTGATTTGGAAAATCTTGCTTGTATTTGTATAGAGAACTTCTTCTCTTAAGATTAACCACTTTTGTACCAAAAAAAATATAAAAAATATATTTGGGAGATATTACAAAAAAAAAAAAAAAAAAATTCTTTTCCAATTTCATACTCAAAAGTGAAAATACGCAGACTTTTTCATAGAAACGGCAATCTTGTGAGTTATGATCAGGAAATGTACTGGTCCCAACACAGAAATTATTAAATAGACAGTTCGATAACTCTATAAATATACAGATGAGATTATGCATAAAAAAAATAAAATAAAAATGAAGTTGAAATGGTTTTATACACTAGCATGACACTGATTAACAAATTTGAACCGAATATAATTAGATTTAGTATTTTTGAAAATGAATTATCTAAAATCAGCAAAACTCCAACCAACTTCAAAACACACCAAGTATTTATATATGCTATATATTGACAACCTTACCAAAAAAAATCCAATTTGACAGAATCTAACCTAATTTATGATCACCTAATCAAGAGATTTTGCGAATGTATATGATTATGGTAGGAAATATCATTGTTAGGCAGCTGTGGAGTGGGCACGGATCCGATACGTAAGAAAATTGGGTTATTTGGATTTGAATCCAAAATATTCGAATATTTAATTATAAGATTTGTATCCGGAATTTGAGGTTTACGAGTATCTGGGGTACGGATATCCGTAATAATATTCGGGTATTCGCGGGTATTTGGATCCAGATTTATTTTTAAAAAAACAACAATAATTATATAAAAAAATTTCAAAAAATGAAGATATATTTATAAAAATGAATGAATTACTACAAAATATGAGTAAAAAAGAGATAATAAGAGAAATACTAATAAATTTATTTTTTTAAAATAATATTAAAAAATGTGAAATTAATGATATTTTATAAAAATATTATATAGATATAAGATATAATTATTTATAACCTAATTTATGATCACCTAATCAAGAGATTGCGAATGTATATAATTATGGTAGGTAATATCATTGTTAGGCAGTTGTGGAGTGGGCACGGATCGGATACGTAAGAAAATCGAGTTATTTGGATTTGAACCCAGATTATTCGATTATTTAATTATAAGATTTATATCCAGAATTTGAGGTTTACAAGTATTCGGGGTACGGATATCCGGAATAATGTTCGGATATTCGCGGTTATCTGGATCCAGATTTATTTAAAAAAAACAACAATATTTATATATAAAATTTTTTAAAAATGAAAATATATTTATAAAAATGAATGAATTACTACAAAATATGAGTAAAAAAGAGATAATAAGATAAATAATAATAAATTTATTTTTTTTGAAATAATATTAAAAAATGTGAAATTAATTATATTTTATAAAAATATTATATAGATATAAGATATAATTATTTATAACCATACTATGCACCTGGTAATTAATTAACCAAAAAAGTGAAAAGAAAGTAGAAATGGGCAAAATTGGTTGGGCGGTAAAGATCCATCAGCCATTTTCTTATGACTGATATAATTCCTCACCATCCTATTGGCGACTTCAACCACATCTATCCACGTGTTCTATTTATTTTAATTTAATTTTTAAATCTTTTATAAATTGGTCATATATTTCATGTTGGTTTCCCCCCCATAACCAAAAAGACAATAGACTACTAAACTTGGGCGTAATAACCGAATTTAATTAGTTATTGAGAGGACTGAGCTCGTGCTTTGACCTCTAATGATATACATTCCCCAATCAGAACCGTACACGTGTCCACGCCCGGCGAATCATTGGCTTATGAATTTTGAAAAGCTAATACAATGCCAGCTTTATTATTTTAATCGGCGTATAATATAACTTGAAAAATAAATAAATACAAAATTATATCAAAATATTTCAGGTGGATTAATAATAATAACGACGCAATTTCAACTGAGTGCATGCGTGCATGTAAGGGAATATTACTCAAATAACCCACTTGGGTCGCAGCAATTTCAGTGTACACCACCGAAAAAAAAAAAAAATTTTGCGACCTTATTACGACTAATATATAACTAATATACAACT